GAAACAGCCACACACGTCCTATGTGAATGTGAGGCTTTAGCTTATTTAAGACTGTGTCACTTGGGTCAGTACTTTATGGAACCAAGTGACTATTTTGATGCCCCCCTGTCCAAAATCCTGCGCTTCATCTGAAGCGTGGGTTTGCTGAGGGAATAATTAAATAAGGGGAAGCACAATGGACCACCGCGGTCTAGGTACAAGGGCCGAGAAGGCCTACCCCTCATACATTCATTCATTAATATCATACTCAATGGTATTGACAGTTAAGACAAGTAATTTGTACAGTTATTGTGTTTTTGGACATTAGCCACTGTCCTGGTTTGTATTTAAAATACAATGTTTGCAAGACTGGATTCTGCTTCTGTCTTCAGGTAAATGCCTACTCAGTTGGGCCCAGCTGATGGACTAAAGTCCAGAGACAGGGGCACTAGTTCTATCAACTGGGCCCAACTGGGTAGGCTTTTACCTTAGGACACAGTCTCCAAAACACTGTGTTTTAAATAAAAACAGGATGATGAATAATATCCCAAAACACAATAATTGTATTAATATACCATTGTTACAAACTTTCAGATCTTATCAAGCAGTTTGTATTTAGTCTCTCACATAATAAGATTGCCCAATGAGTGAAATGACTAGAACTGAGGTGGATAATGTTGAGGATTTGAGAATGCCATGAGTTATTAACTAGAGGCACAATGAAAATTACAGTCTTCTGGGATGTGTGCCCATCTGCAAAAATATATGGTGTCACAACTTGGCAGCTCTTTTATCTTGACAATCCCCACGATGACAATCTCAAATTTCAAAAGCAGGATCCACTGGCATGGAACAAGCTGAGTTGTGGTTAAGGTTAAGGAGGTCAGTGTTCTCTGAATTTATTAAACTTCTACATGAATCTTTCCACTTAATTCCTTTCAAGTACTAAACTGCAGCAGCCTGAAGAAGAGCCCATACTAAGATTATACACCTATGGACATATACCTGGTCTGTCCTTCGAGTAGCATCACTTCCACTGTCGTCACTATCAGTCTCCTCATTCGCACATACAGCACCATCTCCACCACAAGTCTCTTCAGTTTTCAATACCAGAGATTGAGGAAAATATGCCATTCTATATGAACTGCAAATGATGTTCATTTCACTTATTATAAGATACTGTCACAAAATTTCCTAAGAGAATTCAGTAAAGGGAAAATGTGACTGACCACATAAAATATTACAGCAGTTTAAGTCATTTTACGGACGAAAGGCTATTTTCTGATGAAGTGTACAACAGTAAAGAAGGAAAGACTGCAAAGGTGTGCATATAAGTAATGGTGTATTGCTGCCAGAATTGTGACATGGGGTTGTGCTTGAATTAAGATTTATTGCGCTACATTGAAATTTCAAATATTACAAACTGAATAATTCAAATCGCTGTAGCATCAAAAATTTAATGTGAAATTTTTGTTAAAAAATTTAAACTGTTTCAGCCGTATGCCTGTTTATACAAAGTACCGCAATTGTTGTCATATGCAATTAAAATGGCACTGAGCACTGCCACACAACCTCATTTAAATACCTTCCGTCCCCAAACAATAAAGGGGTTTGGCTCTCAATAGGGAAAACGTATATAAACCTTTCAAATTTAAACTTTTCGGTGACCTACGAGTTCTACTATATGATGTATAAGATGGTCTTAGAATATGCTGATGGCTCACGCATCACAACGGGGATAGGTTAATTTAAAGAAATTGGAACCTGTCACAATTAAATTTTCACTTCTTAACCCACTCCATTCTCCTGTACGTCGAGTCAGTGTATTTTCTTAAAATAGCATGAGTAATTTTAAAAACAGTGCGATACAAAGTGGCATCAATCATTTGATCCAAGGACGTTCATAACCTATCTTAAAAACAGGACAGTCAAGTACGATTCATGATCACATACTAACATAATAGGGTAGAATACTTTAGTTACGTTACAGAATATAATAATACTAAAAAAGTTAAACAAAAATAACTTAACATACATATCTACGAATAACGTGATATTGTTCAGCGTCTACTGCGACTAAAGAACTAACGTCCGTATACTCGAAGCACTTTCACTACTCGTCGCAGCTATGTTCATGGTCACTGAATGAACAAATTACATAATATTAAATTTCGCACTAACCGTACGTAGTACATTTACATGTCACTCTGTTTTCCTAATTGTATTATTGCTCGGACGCGCTAACAATTATAAAATTTGGTTAACACGTTTATTTTCACCTTCAATATTTTTTTGGGGCTTACTCCAGAATAATATGGTATAATTATGAATCAGAAGCATGAAATGCATTCAGTACTACAATTACCATATGCACACATGTGGGGAAAATGGTCACTATAATTTGGGTCTCTCCTCAGCCAAACTATATATGAATCTACTTAACCTCACAAAACCAAATCAAAGCTAAGCATTGTGGGATCAAAGACAATCTTGGAACTTTAAATGTTGATGGGCCCCAACCATATTCTCCGCTTTAAAACTTTTATGCTGCATGTCTGGACAGGCAAATTTATTTATTTTCAGAAATACGTCAATATGCAAAATATCCATGACTAATTTAGTACTGTTTGCAGCTCAGAACATACACAAACAAGAACAGTGTAAATAATGCTGATACATAGACTATGGCTCTATATGTGGTGATTCTTTGCTACTGAAAAAGTAAAGTATCACATCCAATATTTTTCAAATTCCAGCATAAATTATACAAGCATTAAGAAAATCATTTATATCAATAAACTTAAGCTTACTTGATATATGCAAAAATACTGGTACAGCAATGGAAGAAATCCATCATTCTACCTACCTGTATTGTTAAAACTGTTGTAATTTTTTAAGAATCTTGGCATTTTATAAACTTTGTATGAATTCTTAGATAACATTCTACTGTCAAGGTTAATGTATAGCACAAAATTCTCATAGCATTTTTTGGAATTTGCAAAAATTGGTTTATTCAATTAAAATAAGTTCAAAAAAAATATAATAAATTTGATCTATAAATGACATACATCTAACACATCTTACATAAGGGCTTCTGAAACAAGACATTTGCTTCCAAAGTCCAAAAGAATCAGGATGGAACTGAACACATCAGGTTTCACATGTATATTAATACCATTAATTAATTTATTTAGTCTCTATAGATCATTGTTACATGATATAGGCCAAGTCAGTTACTGTACTTCTTTTGGCTTATTTTGGACTTCATCCATCGTCTGGTATGTAAAATACAAAAGACCACTTCGGAGACTGGATCTGTCTCCATCTTCAGGTGGGTAGGAAAGGATAAACCTACTCAGTTGGGCCCATTAGAAAGAGCTAGTTTCAATCACTGGACAAACCCCAGGCTGTAGAAAAACAACCTATGAACAACCGACAACCGGTTCCATCAGTGGGAGAAAAGAATAAAATCACAGTAAAGACATGATAAAAAATTTGTGCCAAGCATGCACATGTCAACAATGTAAAAAAACAGAAGTATAGGTTAAATTCCATGAATTCAGTTAAAAACGAAAGTAAAAACTGGAGATAATGCATGCCTAATCTGTGTGGATAAAGAATCATGCCACCACAGCGACTTCCGGGAATCAGACTAATCCCCGGAGCAAAACTTGCAGAAGTAGTGGAACCACTGATATTCATAAAAAATTACATTGTTGATTTGTTAACCTCTTCTTTGATGAGGGGGATCCATATGGGAGAAATATCCAAACTTGGTTGGCTGATCGAATTGGTTGAACATGCCATATGAGCTGATTCTTTGTACTTTCTGTATCTACTGTTACTTTCAACCTCCAAGATCCTAGCTTCATCCCAGCTTACCCTATGACCTTCTTCATATGCATGCTGAGCCAACCTGGATTTCACTAGAAGACCCTGCTTGAGACTGTGCCTGTGTTCACAGATTCGCACAGCCAGCGGTTGATTGTCATGTTGTGACGGTTTTCAGTAAGATATAATATTGTGAAATCTTAGATTGTCTCTACAATCACTGGTTTCTTGCATTCATTCACAGCATGCATTTATGTACTTTTTAATTTTAAAAACTAAAACCTTGACAATATCAGCACAAATAATATTCAACCAACGTATTCATTTTTCTCTACTGCATTAGATATTTTTATTTTATAACGAGTTTATGGTTTATTTAAAAATAGTAATAACAGACCACATAGTCTCAAATGGTAGTGTGATAAGTAAATATTGAATTTTAAAGGATTTGGAAAGAAGCAGTCTTAGTCTATTTGAGGTGGTCCAAATATTTGGAGAGACTGTGGAAAACTAGGACAGTCATTCTCCCAACCAAGATTAAATTGGACACCCCTGAATACAAGTTGGAAAAGTTACCACTTGAGCCAACTTGCTCACTTCTATATGGAAGGTTCTAATATGACTTTCTATACAATACATTTTTATGTTGCAACTGCAATCATTAGACTGTGATTAACTGGCAATATCTACATTAACAGTGTGTGTTGTGTGATACAATTCATGTGTTATAGCAGGTGTAGGAACTGGTATCCTCCTGATATCACACTTGACATCTGATGTTATTGAAACCTGATGTTCTAGACACTAAATTGACAATACTGCACTCCCAACATTTTCTCTTTAACTCAGCCTGTGTGCATGTGTGGATTATTCTGAAAAAGGTTGTCTTTTGAACTTCCCCATAGATAACTGTTAGTCAGATTAGGTGAATCAGCAGGGCACAAAATGTAACTAGCTGTTCAGTCATGAAATATGTTGCACATAGTGGCAAAAATCCTTTGCTGTATGGGTAGCTGTACCATCTTGCTGAAGGAACATACATTCCTTCTGCTTATCACTGAGGATTTTAAAGAAATTAGAATTTAACTAATTTGTCTTCCTGAATTTATTTTTTCTGAGAAAAAGAGGATCCAGTAATTCATGTTGCACTGATCCACACCACATAACTTTAATATTGTGTAAAGGTTCCTTATTTATCGGTCTAGGATTATCAAATGATGAATATCTGTTATTATAGGTATTTACTCATGCCTCATGGAAGGTATGAACTAAAAATGAACCAATTTCAGCACCACATACTGCCTAAAACTCCATTTTTGGAAAGTGTGCTTTGTGTAGAGTTTTTACACCACTGTGAATTTGTATAGCTTTAAATGAAGGAACTTTATGCAATACGGTAAAAGTAGTAATGTTGGCCCTGTGCTTCAATAAGCACCACATCAGAGACATGTGAAGTACAGTTCTATACGCTCCTAAATTTGGCACTAGCTGAACGCAAGAAGTCAGCTTCAAGCATCTGACATTATACCCCCAGGAAAGAGCCCTCATAATAAACAAAATACATATGGACTAATTTGTCAGTAAGCATCATATTCCTAACACTGAAAACTGTTTTTAAATGTGTGAAATAACTATGAAATGACATGCCATAGAATATGCACTACTGTTAACCATTTATTCAAAATCAGCAAACATTGTGACCTTGAGCTGAAGTCTCATATCAAGAACCAAACCAGCTTCCTTCCACAGAAAAATGGGGTTCTGATGTTGCAAAATATGCTCAGATTTTTATGGCTCAGTTTAAAAAAATATATACAAGAAAAACAAATTCTGTATGATTTTATGCTGGAATGAGAGCTACCATAATTTGCCATTATGTAGGACAAAAGCTGATCACATTGTGCTTAGTGTATTAATTTTAAACATGTTACACTGTGTTAGCATTTCTGTACGGTCTTACTTTTAACAAATTCACATAAGCTTGGAAATAAAGACGGTACTAGTTCAGAGTCTTCAGAAAGTTGTGACATAACACAGCAGTTCGCATAGTTCCAAGCTTTGGTGTATGAATTACCTACTATTCTACATACTTATGATGCATTCTATCCATTTTCTTCTTATTTTATTACTTAATAATACTGTCAGTTCTGAAACTATACAGACTTTAACTGAAAGGTGTAGACAAACTTTTGGCATTTGTTTCACATACCACAACAGGAATAAATGTCCATATCAAAATGTATCCCAACACATTTGTGAGTTATAGCTGGAAGAGTACATACTCGTGCTCAAAATGTCCTCTCTGAGACTGAATGCATACCTCGACCATGTGTCATCATGGACTGCTACATCTGTTCAAAGATGCCAGGGCAGTTGCAGATAGTCTCACTGGCATCCAAGAAGAAATGATTTGTTTTAGATTTGAAATCTTATGTGAATGGAATAAAGAAAAGGATTACAGCATGTAACTGGCAGCCAATATGTTCCACCTATCTTTTATTATTCCTTCCCAAATAATATTAGTCCGTGACCAAAAGTAACAAACTCACTCCATTTTCCTCACAAATCTGGCAATTACAAAGTCACTGTCAAAATTAATAATAAATATATTTCACAAAATATTCATCTTCATGAGAAACAATTTCAAATACATGGTGTCTCTAGTATGACAAAACAGATATGCTTTTAAATATATTAGCTACAAATATGTTTACAAGTCAATTTACAATATAAGTGTTGAGACTTTTATATAATAACACAAAAGAATTCAGTCTCAAAATACATTTTTTCTAACAACAAATATATAAAACATATTAAATATACATAAATACTGAGTCTCTTAAATGCACATCAAAATGACGTGTTAAACTAACCAGTTTATAACAATGACTAGTCTGTTTATGCTGGCACAGAAAGCCAACAGTAGCTGTTTAGGGAATAAGAGGTAGTTTCATATCGTCCTTTCTCCCTGATACTTCTTCTGTATCATCTTCCAGCTCTGGACAATCAGCAGACTGCTGTGGAATTTTCAGAGTCACCAAAGACTCTGCATGATGACTGCATGAGGCAAGTTCCTTTAAATAAAGAAAACATTTAATAATTAAATATTCTAAAATAAATAGCAATATGAAAATATATACTAACATGTATGCTGGGAAGACGCGTGTTTGTCACAGCACACAATAAGTGCATTTTATGAGTTTTCAAATAACCTACAAACATTACAATCCATTTAAAACAAACTTCTACCAAACAAGTACAGATAAAATGCTTATCTTTGTTGTTCAGTTACCATCAGAAGAATTTACCCTAGTGGTGAACAAGTTACACCTAACCATCAAAACTTTTTTCAACTTTCAAGCAAAGTGACATCTGTGTATGACCACCAAGAAGGCAAAGAGTGGAATTGTATACTAATGGGAATGAAAAATGTTGTTCAGGATGGGAGATTGTTGAATATGGAGTGCCGCAGGGCTCGATTTTGGGTCCCTTGCTGTTTCTTTTATATATCAATGACCTGTCATCAGCATTAAATACTGATGATAGGTTATTGTTGTATGCNTGCAAGGGATGAATGTTTAGTATGCATTATCAATTTAATAAAATCTATCCACAAGTATTATAAGTGTTTAGAGTTTGATATTAAATTAACAGACATGGTAATTTTGTTGACATTTGATTAATACTGTTGAGATTGGAAGTTGTGACTTCATCTGTGTGGGCAAGTACTCCTGTCTGTATGGCAAAATCAAAAGAGAAAATGTGATAAATTTAGTTCTTAGCCTTCCTTTCCATGGAGATATCTCAACAATAAAAAAAATTAAATGCACTGTTCCACACATTTGTCTATCCAAATTTTCACTTTCTGTGGCAATTCGAATGGAATTAGAATAGCTTGTTGACAAAGTTCTATATAAATGTAACTTGAGAAAATCCCAAGTATTTTAATTCCACTCATTAACTCCATCACAAATGGTCAAACAGTAAATTTTTACTCATAATTTGGCCAAGATATTCAAGTTATGGGAAAATACATTGTCTACATATTTGTGTAATACAGTAATCTCTCACCACTTACAAAATTAAATTTATCAAAGTTTAACCAATTGCAATGTATGGGTTTAAATGCCTGCATTTTTTATTTGTGTACACACACAAAAAAAAATCCACATTGCTGGGAGCATGCCTGTAATGGCATTCAAAACCAGTGTCCTAGTTTCAATTATTACTATGTCAGTGCATAATTTTATAGTACTTCTTATATTTGTCTTTCATGTCATATGTTATTACATCATTTTTATGTGTAGTGGAGGAACAGGAAGCTTAGTTTTATGTTTCAATGAAATATTACAGCAGCCATGGTTCCCTATCCCCAGTTTTCTATAAGGGCTTGATCTTGTGCATGGTGATGTTTTTCAGTTGGCAAGGGACTGGCTCTTATGTCATATGATGTATTAAGAATCATGGTAATCACAGCAAGGTACAGCGACAGTACATAGTGATCGTTAACAAAACTTTAATAAAAATGTCTAGAAGGCCACGTATATATCGTGATTCTGTGACAACAGGACACAAAGAATAGAGACAGTAGGATACAGCACAATTAACATTTTCTTCATGCATTTAAATTTATTGCCATGAAGTTTATATTGTTTCAGGCAGACACATTCTTTGTAGGTTTTACGATACCAGTGCCTCTCCATAAAATATTCCTGGGGACATTTTATTTCCTGCCATATTTACAAGCAGGGTGAAATAACAAAATGTTGGTGCAGCACAATTTAGTTCTATAAGGTATTTATCATTACTTGCTAAGTTCCCAAAATAAAATTTCTTGCATTCATTTCATTATGAAAATCATTTCATCATAACATTTAAATGTAGCAACTGGAGGCAGCCCATAACTAAGGATCAGAGGGGCAGGGCCACACTGATATTTAATGCCTTAGTATACAAAAGTAGGTTTGATTTAATTTCTAATTTGTTTGCAATAAGGTGGCATAAGAGAGAGTTTTGATAGATTTCTAATTTCTTTGCATTTCTTGTAAAATAAAGCAATTCTTCAAATCTGCAAAAGAAGTTGTTTTGGTTGCAAAAAGTTAATGAAGGGCCTTGCCTCACATGCCCTCTTAGCTCACTTTTCCATGGAAATTCCTTCTGCTTGCTTATGGCAGTATATATATGTCATGCCTTCTTATAAGTCTGTCCCACTGCTACTTGGGCCAGCAGGTCCTTGCCCTCACAGAATTCCATATACATACTTCCCCCCCTCTTGCCTGAACACCAAATTATTCTCCTACCCACTACAGGTAATGAATTATTTGTCTGCACCATTGAAAAGCATACATTAAGAATTTAAGTTCCTTGTATTTACAGTTTGTTTGAGATTAAACGATGATGATGATGTGTGTGTGCAGTGCAGAGCCCCTTGGTTTAAAATGTTCTTGGCAACAAAAATGAGCCTCAAGGTACTTATAAAAGGGAATATAACATAACAGTAAACTCTTAAAATGTAGACATTTAAATTGGAACACACATTTGCTCCCCACTTGCCTTAAATACAGCTATTTTTGGGTACAGAGTTACATTTTATTCAGTCCTAGCCCTGGCTATTCAGATATTCAGATAGTTACAAGCTGCCACTGTCAACCCTTATTTGTGGTATGTTAACAATATAAGGGTTCTGAGTGTCACTGTACCCAGCTTTTATATTGAACTCTAGTATGTACTAGCCAGAACCGCATACTTGTTATGGACATACCACATGTTGGCACAGGGTGTACATGAGCATGACAGGAGGTGACTATGCATATGAACACAGTGCTGTTACTAACACCATTCCTGTGTCACAGACTAAATAAATGCGATGTTCATACAAAGGAAGTGTGGGTTAACAATTCATAGAAAAAAGGGAAATATCACTGCAAATGTAATAAAGTGACATGGTGAAAGAGCTGAACAGAAATATCTTAGTGTTCCCAGTGAGAAGGCCACAAAATTCTGCAATGTATCATCAAGAACAATACAATGTATAAGGATTCAAAGTAATGAGTGCACAGTAGATGGTCAGTTGTCAACACCAGGGAAAACATGAATGTCCAAAATGCAGAGGCAGATGACTGAGATGAGGCAGTGGGTAGTGCATTTCAACAGTGGCAAAAGTGAAGTGCATGACAAGCCACGCCCTGGGCATCCCTGCTCAGCTGCCACTCCTCACAATGAACAGCACCTCGATCCTGGAGAGACTGTCAATTCTGAACGCTACAAGACGACGCTGACTAAGCTGAAAGCCTGCATTTCCCGAGTCAGACCAGAGAAGCAGACAACCTTTCGCTTGCAACATAACGCTAGACCCCATACCAGTTTGGCGACCACTGCGCACATTGCAAAGTTCGGCTGGACTGTCCTACCACATCCACCTTATAGCCCCGATTTAGCACCTTCAGACTTCCATCTCTTTGGGCCTATGAAAGATGGACTACGTGGGCAACATTTTCCAGACAACGATGCTGTCATTGCAGCTGTAAGAAAGTGGCTAGCCTCTGCTGGCACAGACTTTTACAGGCGCAGCATACAGGCTCTCGTTCATCACTGGCAAAAGTGCATAATGAATGGTGGTTATGTGGAAAAATAACTGTAAGTGGCTGAAATCTTGCTCTATTTAACTGCATTATTATGCTTTCTGTATCCGTTGTAGTTTTCATTAAAAAAATAGGAGGCATATATACAGAACGCTCCTCATATATATACTAGCAGGAATATGGAGTACGGTTCAAAATTTTCAATATTCTTCATAAGATTCTCTGTAGCAAACAGAGAAGCAAGAAATACAAAGTTACAGCTTTATAATATGCTAGAGTACATTGCTCAATATTGGCGAGAGATTGTCTTGCTGTTCTTCCCATTCCAAACATCCTAAACTACAGTGATTCAAACAAAGTTCTTTATAAAATCTGCCACTTTTTCTGAGATATTGCTGACACTTATAAGCAATTTAGGCATGTCCATATCTTACTCATATTACTCCAAGTGGTGTATGATAATACAGAAACACGACTGTATCCAGAAAGATGTGAATGGTAAAACAAAATTACTAATCAACAATCTGGTATAGCAGAGGGATGAGATGAAGTAATGATTTATGTATGCCACATGTGGAATTGTTTTGAAAAAAATAAGATGATTGGTCAGGTGTGAAATGCAGTTTAATACTTATAACATACCAAGATTAAAATACTAACTTAGTTACATGCTAGAACACTTACCTCATTACTTCCAGAACCCTCCATCGGGTTTGCATATTCATGCTGTCCAGGAACCAACATTTCTGGAGTAGGTACCACCAAGCTAGACTCATCAGTACGCAAACCAAATGCGGGATTTTGGAAATGCAGTCTGAAAAAGAAACACAATTTAATTATTCAATTATTTTTACCACTTTATTATTTTAGAGCAGGGGTTACCAAAGTTGGCTTTACCACCCCTGGGGGGCTGGTGGGATTACCTAGGGTGGTGCACTAAGAGGCAAGAGGGTGGCAGGGGGCCTGGAGGTTGGCCCCTCTATGTGCATTGTTCACTTATTTACAACTGAAGTTACTTCAGACGAGACAGTGACAAATTTGTATCAGTTCATCAAGCCCATCCACTGCATTAAAAATTTACTAACAGTGAAGTAGTTATTAAATGTGGTATCTTATTTCATTATCATCTTCTTAGTGATGTGTGCAAACCACTATTCTGAAGAATGCTTTATATAGGAGAGGGTAGGGGGACGAGTTTATGGCCCAAAAAAGTTTGGGAACCACTGTTTTACAGTATGCTGAAATAACTTTTGAATGTAAGAAACTTCTGAAGTCCTCATCAATGGTAACTAAAAGAATTCAATCCTGCTTTTTAACTTGTGAAGGGAAAGCAATTTGTGTGTGTGTGGG